GTCGAAAATTCGATTTCGCTCATATTCCTATGGTAGATAGGCTAGGGCATGACAAAAACTACTGGATAGCTTTTTTGGCAAAGTATCCTTTTATTTCAAATAAATATGCAAATTACCAAATTCCATTAAAATCGTCATTTGACGCACCATTTTGTGAAACAAGTTTGAGAGCCTCGCAAGGAAAACCACATCATTCTTCTGTCTTTAAAACACTCAAATAATTTTGTGCAATGTTTAAATGTGTATTGGGTTGATTTCAGGGATTTCAGGGATTTCAGGGATTTCAGGGAATGCTGCGTTGTCTACCCCCTAAAATGGGATGACAGCATTGCGTGACGAACAAATAAGGAACCGCTGCAAGCAAGGATTCAAGCAGCAAGAGATCAAACGATGATCAAACGTAATATTTTGGTGTAGTGCAAAGCAAGCAACTATCTACAAATCACTTAGCTAGCCGTTTTTGACGTAGATGCAGTGGTGATCGTATTTGTCGAAAGAGGGTCATAGATTCATGGTATTCGACCATTAAATAAGTTGACAGTTGGCGATGTACANACGATTTTCTTCCGCCATCTTGAGCGCGCGAATTTGGCAATAAAATTATTCTGAATTATTCGAGTCGGGCGAATAAATTAACACGGCAACCAATCAGAAGCACTACCAGGTTTTTGGGTAATGAAGTCACCGGATAGCATTATCGACCAGTGCTTTCAGACGTCTCTGTCCCCGATTGACTTAGCGAGCGGAGGAGGCGGCTGAAATTCAGGCTAACATTTTTATTGTAATTGCAGCAATCACAAATTTTCTTCCTCCACTTACATGTATTTCGTGGGTACCTGAAATTTGAAAAAAATTCTGTAGTTGACAGCTGTTTTTCAAAAGCCTTTAAGCCATGCAGATTCTGGTTACAGTTGTGTTGTAGGTTTTCTATAACACTAATTACTGTCAAAGCAAGAGAGTAGAGTATATTAGGAATGTCCTGGTTTTTGAAGTCACAGTAACAAGGGTAAAATAATTCCAGTGCCCGCGCAGTTAATAAGTTGACAGTTGGCGATGTACATCGGGCGTTGTATAAACAAAAGCAAACTTCTGCTTTATGTGCGACGAAAGGTGACAGAAACAGGTCAAATCGGCTTTTGGACCTGCCTTTTACAGCAAATAAGGTTAGAACATTTCGAAATTATCAGCTCTGTGTCTATTTCAACTTAACATAGCTCACGACATGTGACGCGTGCTAAAATATATGTCTAACCCGTAAATTGAAATTAAACGACGGATGGTCAAATATCTGCATTTTTAACGTACTTTGGAAAGCTCTCGCGTCGCTCACAATCATTTGCCCAAAAAATTTTTAACAAGAATCTGTAGACTATCCTTCTGCGATTCAACCACCAGAAGCTTAATCCATTTGAAGGTTTCGCACATGGTGAAAATCAATTATTTTTACGAAGTACTTT